TCCCATTGGAGCATAAGCGGACACCAAAGGGGCCAGGTCATTCCCGAGCAAAACATCAGCAGGTAAGTCTTTCATGACCCCTACATTCACATGTCCAGAGCCCACTCCCCAATCCAAATGAACCCGGGCAACAGGCAGACGGAACACTGCACCTCCCGCTACCCTCACTGCCACAGTATTTCCAGTGTGCTGGTGTTCTGAAACAAGGTTCTTTTGGAGCAAGGTCATAGTGGCTCCGGTGTCTCTCAGACCAGTTACTGCTTTGCCATTTAGTTTAACGGTCTGCCTGTGCTGTTGTCGGTTATCCTGCTGCGCTGCTTGTACCGGATCCGCCTCATGTAGTATACCCCAAAATTCCTCCTGCTCAAGGCAGTGAGCGGAAGGTTGGGGTGGCTGCTGATTTCCGCCGGCTGGTCTTCTCCACGACTGGGCTTGGCTGGAATTGTTCAATGGACACTCCGGTCTCTTGTGCCCCAACTGTTTACATCCATAGCACCGGATAGGCTGTGAGTAATCCCGGGCGTTGAACCGGGCTGGCTGAACATAATTGTTCGCTGTTGGCATTGTGGGGGTGCGTTGCGCTGGGTGTTGATACACTGTAGTGGTTGGAGGAGCTGCCGGTTTGTACTCCACTCGGGTAGGGACCTTGGTTGATGTCTGGTCCAGTTTCCGTGCATCTGTGTACTCATCAGCCAGACGAGCAGCTTCGGGTAAGGTAGCGGGTTTGCGGTCCCTAACCCACTCTCTGACTCCTGGAGGTAAACGATCAAAGCAGTGCTCCAACAAAAACACTTGCAGCACTTCTTCCCCAGTTACCGCTTGGCACCCTGCCATCCAGTGGGCTGCTGTGAGGTGTACTCGGCATGCCCACTCCAAATAAGAATCGCCAGCTTGTTTGTTAGTGTCCCGGAATCGCCGCCGGTACGCCTCAGGGGTTACAGCGTACCTGGCCAAAAGGGCATCTTTTACTGCCCGGTAGCTGGTGATTTCCTCCTCCGGGATGGCCCAAAATGCTTCACTGGCCCGGTCGGATAACTTCCCAGAGAGGATGGTGACCCATTCCTCTGCGGGTACCTGGTGTAAGGCACACTGCCTTTCAAAATCAGCCAGGAACCCATCAATCTCTCCTTCGGCTTCTACAAAATTTCTAAATGCAGCTAAGGGTACTTTCCTTCTTCCATTATTGTTATAGGGTATCTCTGCTGCTGCAGCGCCTCTTCCCTGGAGCGCCTGTTGGGCTGCTACTGCTGCTTGCACTTGAACCACAATATCCGCTGCGGGGTTGGGGCCAAAGTGTGCCAGCCTTATCTGGACTGCCTGGTTAAATTGTATCTCCTCGGGTGTTAACTGCAGTATGCCAGGCACATCAGCTCTCCCCGTTCCCTGTGCTGCATCCATTTCCAATAATATGGCAATAATCTCTCTTTTCTTGAGATTACTCGCTGATCGTCCTCTGCTTTCCAATATATCTTTAAGGGTAGCACGCCTTAATTCTTCATACTGCATTTCCGACCTGGGATGTGTAGCTGGCCTTCTGGGCGGTAGGATTCATCCCGTCGCTTGCCACCAATTGTTACGACACTCACCGCCAGGTAGATGAAGCCGCCGTTTAGTGAATAATCCCCCTCTCCAGAAATGCAGTTTCTATCCAGCCGACCGCCAAACTCCCGAACGGAGTTCACGAACACGGCAACTCCCGATCAACAAATCAGTCGAACGCCTTCCACAGCTAGAAATAACGAAAGCGCTGTCCCAGTAATAATTCCCCCACAAACAAGACCAAGCTCCGTCTTGAGGGTCAAATAAGGATCTGTTTAATGTGGGCTACCTGCCCGGTATTTATGCAGGTCTCCACAAGGTGGACACTCCCCGAGGGGATCTTGTGGAAGACTGTAAAACATATTGGACAGTAGCCAATCGCAGTGGCTTCAATATAAGCCCTTCCCATCTTACCCATAAACCCTTCTTCTCTACCCTGGAGATAATTAGGAAGAAACCTAATTATCTCCCAGGATAGAGACAATCGCCATTTTAAAATACAGTAAGAAAAATACATTAAAATACATAACTGAAGAAATACCGAATGAATATAGTTTGTGTAACGTATCCCCAGACAGCCTGGATCTGAGTGCATATTTCTACCGAATAGCGCTCCGATCCGATGTATCTAGTCGAATCGCCATGAAGTCAAAGTCTTTCACCAGTCCTTCGGTATACGAATGACTCCATGGGACGGCTATCTGGGTAAAGGTCCATACGAATGTATAAAACTCCCGAACAGACCGGCGTTCGTGCGCCTCGCCGAAATAGAAGGTGGGCAGCAGCTTCCAGCGGTGTTCGGTAGATTAAAGTGTCCGTTTTTAGTTCCATAGAATTTGTACCGAACACCGCTACGCTTCCTCGTGTCCCAAAATGGCCGCCGCCTCATGGTCGGCATGCGAACGACGACCACCCGTACGAATGGAATGGAGAGGTGTCTGCGGTTAACCACAACGTTCTAATTGGGGCCAAGAGGTTAACCAGCAGCACACTCCTCTCCTGGGTGGTCGTTCGTTCGGTAGTTTCAATCGGTATTTTATAATCACACGAACAGGGGCATACGGACAGGAAATCCAGCGAAAACAAAGGGTAACAGACAAACCAGCAATACAGATGAATCTGTCACAAGTAGTATTCACTGTTTATTTCGTTAATCATACTTTATAACTATATGACCCTGTCATATGCATTGGATTGAATACATAGCAAGTTATTACTCAGAATTAGACGTGCATACTTGTCCTGTTTTTAACACTTTATCTTTTACGTAATTGCCATAACCAAGCATCACCATGACTAACTTACCTGTCTCATATCTGAATTGCCTGGTACTCATTTGACTTAAAAAAATGTGCACAGTATTTTTTATGCCATGTTATATTCTGTTATTGAATGGGTTCCTACAGCTATTGTGGCGTAGCAAACCTGATTGTTATCTCATGCACGAACAAAAATAAAGAATTGGAGAAAAAAAAACTACTGAGCACCAACCACCCCCCTGGCTCATTAACTACAAAGAAGACTGCAAATAAAGTGCTCTCTCTGTGTGTCATATAGCCGAACGCAACGTGCAAGAGAAAATGGTGGCCATCTTGTTGCACGAAAAGAGGCAACAGGACTTGGTCGTCGAGTGTCTGGAACTAAAATCGGACACTCGACTTCCCCAATGTCGGTCAGTTTCGTGAACGCTTGCTTCTTTTCACTGACCAGCAAGGAGAGCGCTATTCTGTAGGTTTGTTCCCATGAACTAGGGGAACAAACACTACCTATGAGTCAGAGGAACCGTTCGTGGATTTGTTCAGTTTTTAGACTTCTCGAAAGAGACTGACCACACAGCCCAATTTCCTGAAACTCTTTCTGGGCAGGAGCCCAGTGTGCAGTCGGCCAAATTAAGATTTCATGGAACTCCCGAAGCCCTCAACCGACCTGGGTGATTTTTGAATATGTTGTTCTTCCAGATCAGGGCTATCAGGGGATATTTTGTGGGGTTCCCATGATGTTTGGGGTACTTTCTGGGTTTTGTGGAAATGTGTTTTTTTTTTTTTGGAGATAATTGAGTTTAGTATAGTGCTTGACTCAATTATCTCCCAGACACAGGGGTGGGATTATATTATTTTATGTAGGAGTGTCCTGGACCTGAGAGCCAATGTAACAGCAGAATGTATGTTGTCATTGTCCCCTCTCAGGTCCAGTGGGGAATGCCCCTGGAATATGTCACCGTATGTACATTTTTAACTGCATATAAAACGGCCAGTGACTTGAATAAAACAACTCCTGTTATACTCTTCATCTAGTCTAGGCTGATATTTGGGTATCCGTCTGATTTGCTTGGTGAATATACTTGGAAGCTGTATTTCGTCTGGAGAACATTCAAATCAACACCTGAATTGCGAGCTATAATCACTCTGGGAATCAGTTTGGGAGGAAACAGACGAACGGGTATCTGAAATACCAGCGTTCGTTACAGGCTGTAGTGTGGGGAGATATGTATAAAGTGTGCATATTGTAATATATGTAAGTATAAAAAAAATAAATCATGTTTCTCCCCCTCCTTGAGGCATTTGTCTGATTTGCCTGGTTAACAGCCCAGGCCCGCCTCCACGGCATAAGGATGGGCTGGCAGGTGAGTGAGATCTTCTGAGCCCTCTCTTAATCAGGCTTAGCTCACGGGACATACCCATATTTCCTGTAGCAGGTGACCAGATACATAGTGTGTGCCCAGGAACCCCTATTGAGTGTATAATGTGTGTATAGAGCGACTGAATTGCTTTATTTTGAAGTGTCCTTACCTTCTCTATGCACAGCACAGGTACAAAGATAGAAATAAGGAATCTAGGTTTCCACTATTAAATCTACTAAAACTACCTTAACAAACAAAACTGAAGGACTGCATACATATTATGCTTGCACTAGAACTGCTGCTATAAGGTTGACGTTATGGTGCTTGGAGTGCCCATGTAAAATTTTTGGGTGGGCCACAATAGCCACAAACAAGCAAATTAAAGGGAGTTAAAATGGCTTTGAGTAGCATTAGAGCATTTTAAGATGAGGGGGGCTTAGAGATGCAATTCCTTAGTCTTCATCAGGAGAATTGAATTAACAACATGAAGGCATGCATGCAGGGACGTGTCTATTGTTCAACTTCTACTGCATGATGTGCTGACGTACAAATATGCAAATAATACTCTACACAATAGGTACAGTATTGTTTTATTACTATGGATACTTTATTGCTGTGGATCTCTGTGATACAGCCATACACTGTTTTACTGTAAAACAAAAAGTATTTGATCTTATCAAATAAAAACAAAACCAGAAATTCAAGAGAAATAAAACAAATTACATTTCAAATGCATCTTTTTCTGATTTATCTGTATGGATTCTCAGGGGATTAATGAGACTGGTCTTTATCTCCACGGCATTTTCAGAATTCCACACATATAAAAGCATCTCTTGGTTGTGTGATGGCTGCTATGAATACTCTTAAATCCAAAAGATGTCTTACAATTTTTTATTTTTTTGTCATGTGTGAATCTTTTCATGTTTGAAGAGATTTCAGCTCTGCGCAAATAGTTTCCCACACACAGAATAAGCAAATGGTTTCTCTCCTGTGTGAATTCTCTGGTGAGTTATGAGAGACGATTTATGAGCAAACCATATCCCACAAACAGAGCATGAGAATGGTTTATCACCAGTGTGCGTTCTCTGATGTTTTACAAGATGTGCTTTCTGAGTAAAAGATTTCTCACATTCTGAGCAAGAAAATGGCTTTTCACCAGTGTGAGTTCTCATATGCTTAGTAAGGTCTGATCTCTGACTGAAGCTTCTACTGCACTGAGTACACGAGTATGGCTCCTCTCCTGTGTGCGTTTTCTGGTGGCTAAGGAGACTTACTCTCTGGGTAAAGGATTTTCCACATTCTGAGACAGAAAAAGGCTTTTCACTAGTGTGTGTATGCTGTGTGAATGCCTTCTCAACTGTGTGAATGCTGTTTATGGTATGTGTCCTCATGTGAGTGTCATAAATGGCTTTATTATAAAAGTTTATACCACAATCATTACACTTCAGTATAAATAGAGTGTTATGCTCATCCCTGATAGTAATTGCCTTTTTTTAAAATAAGAAACCTACATTCTGTCTGCATGTTTCTTTTGGATGTATAAATGTCTGAGATTTCCTTCTTCACGTGACAATGGTTCCTTCTTAGTAGGAATAGATGGATATTCTGTCTCTGTATATTCTATGGGTTTATACATGTCTGGGAGATTTCCTTCTTCACACAAGACTGACACCTCTCTAATATATGTAGATGGATATTCTGTCTGTGGATGGTCTGTAGGTGTATATAGGGCCGTGAGATTTTCTTCTTCACAGGAAACTGGTTTCTCCTTTATATCAGTAGATGGATATTCTGTCTCTGTTTGTGCTGTGCATATATAAGTGTCTTCTTCACACGAGGCTGATTCTTCTGTATCATGTACAATATATGTTGTCTTCTGCATCATAGATCTATGGGTCCTGGAGCGATCTGTATCCATATTATTTATAATATAGTTTTCCTTTCCAGCTAAACAATCCAATGAAGAGATATTGTGATGAAATCCTTCATAAATATCATTATCCACTGATTGATCTGCTGTAAAGAAACATACAGTAATTAGATTTTGGTATTCAAAACTATCAAAAAATAAAAAAGGCTTTGATATTGCGATTGGGTACAACCTTTATAGTAGTGATGGATTGCACCTAAATGGGAGAGGGTCTGCAGTGCTGGGGGATAGGATGGCTAGAAGGTTGGAGGAGATTTTAAACTAGTAGTAGGGGGGGAGGGTCATAGCAATCTACAAAATGGAGATAGGACAGAAAGGAGATGGGCTTTAGCACAGTATAAGGGGGGTGGAGACGGGGGGAGGGGCAAGCTCAGAACAGAGAAGCTATGTAATGTTGATAATTCACAAAATATACAAGTGACGCATGATATTAAATGTATGCTTACTAATGCAAGGAGCCTAAATAACAAAATGGGGGAACTAGAGGCATTAGCATACACTAAACAATATGATATAATAGGCATAACTGAAACATGGTGGGATGAGACACATGACTGGGCAGCTAACTTAAATGGGTACATGTTATTTAGGAAGGATAGGAAAAACAAGAAGGGTGGTGGGGTATGTTTGTATGTCAACCATGATTTAAAGCCAAATCTTAAGCAAATGGAATGCAATGAGGAAAATGTGGAAGCTTTATGGGTAAATATCTGCTTGGGGGAAAAGAAGGGAAACCAACTATTGGTTGGGATATGTTATAAACCACCTAATGTTAATATTGACGAGGAACAACAGCTGTTTGAGCAAATTGAGAAAGCTGCAAATCTGGGTAACACTTTAATTATTGGAGATTTTAATTGCTCGGACATAAATTGGGACAGAGGCACTAGTAGCTCAGCAAAGGGAATTAGGTTTTTAAACTTGTTAAATGACACCTTTATGTCACAACTGGTACAAGCACCAACTAGAATGGATGCTTTAGCAAACAAATATATCACCAAAAAGATACAAATAGTGCAAAAAATAAAATATAACACACAATGATACTTAACTTCAGATAACGTGCAACAGCCTCCCTAGGTCGTTATCATATATAGGAAACCACAACAAAAGCAATTCAGGAATAGCTGTGTAAATCTACAGAGAGAACATAAGACAAAACATAGTGTAATATTGTTTCAAAATACAATATTCTGTGCGCAGTTATCGGTTGCACTCACTAGATAGAAGTAGGTATAAAAGCTCTCAGGGTGCCTCCCCCGGTGTAATGGGGGGCCAAACAATCCTTCTGTTCATCTCCAATTTCGTGTCCCACCAAAAGACATCCACAGGTCAGGGTTTAGAAAATTGGAAAAAATTTATTCAATAAAAGTATAAATATAAGCAGTCACCAATTTAACATAGGATATGGATGCAGAAAAATAGACCTACGAGTTTCGTTCGTTATGAACTTTCTCAGGGACCGCAATAAAATAATCACATGTATGAATACAAAGTATAAAATAAACATATCCTAAAAACAACCCCTCTCCCTGTGTCCTTAAATAGGGCTAATCCCTTGACTCCATTGGTGGATTCAGTGGGTGTAGATCCTTCTCCTTTTTTGATTGGAGGAGAGAACCCCCTCCATCAGCTGTTTGTCATCATTCAAATAAAAAACTAGCGCCCTTTTTCGCCGGAAACCGGTAGTCATCATCATCGCCGAAACCGGAAGTGACGTCACAAACTTGTTTGCGTTCCAATATGCGTTCCAGTGATGCTGTCTCCATAGCAACCCAATGTTATAATCTCAGCCACAATGTATATAATACAGGGAAGCCAATTTTAGTCCCCAAATTCTGCTAAGGAAAAGAATATTAACCATCTGTGGTTTAAATTATTTTCATTCATTTCATTCACTAAATAATGGCAGCAGTTACTGTGTAGTATTAATCCTTATCTGAATCATAAAAAATTATGAATATATTAAATAAAAATCTAAACTAAAACAGAATCAGATCAAAAAGTATATATATAAAATGAAATAGTATACCAGTTATCAAGACTTAAGGGACTCTTAGCTTAAAAAGGTCATCACTTAAAGGTGAAAGGGTCTCTTATTCTTAAAGGGACACCTCTTCAAAAAATATACATATAAGTATTAGTCCAAGAAACATGTTAAGTCAATATCAATATTTAAACTCTTTGGCGTGAGGGTCCGTAATTTATGAATCCAGAAAGTCTCTCTCTGGGACGGACCAAGAGGTTTTTGAAGGTTCGCTTGTTAGAACATCTCAATAATATCAAAACGGGACTACTGACACACTCCGTCCCTGCTCATTGCATACAATGTCCCTCTTTTTCATTTAAAGGTTTTAAATGTTTGGGAATTGAAAGGGTATCCCCCTTTTGGAGTGGGGGAAACAGTCCAGAGACTAGCCCAGAGAGAGACTTTCTGGATTCATAAATTACGGACCCTCACGCCAAAGGGTTTAAATATTGATATTGACTGTTAAGACACCTCCAGTGTCTTTAGGCAAAACCGCCGTTTAGTAGACCTTCCCCGTCTGCAGTAACAGTCTTCGTTCGCTTAATCTGTAGTATGCGAACCAAATGCAGGGGAAGCGGCAATCTCCAGACCGAGATCCGTGAACGGCTCCAAACTCCCGAACGGCAATACACGAACTGCTGCTAGCCGCCGAACAACAATATTCACCAAGCGGCTTCCGTTCCATCCAGCAGTCTCTAAACGTGAAGAAGAAATCCCTCCAATAACGAGACAGAAGCTCCGCATTGAGGGTCAAACAGGATCTGTTTAATGGGGGCTACCTGCCCAGTATTTATGCAGGTCTCCCACCTGGTGGACACTCCCCTAGGGGACCAAATGGGAGACTTTGACAAGGGACAGACAAGTAGACAAATAGGACACACAGTCACAGTATATTCCCACAATGCATCCTGGCTTCCTCCCCTCTGCCCTGGGAGATAATTGAGAAGTAATTCAATTATCTCCCAAGACAAAGGCAAAGCTCCATTACACACGTGGGGACACAAAACCAGTATTATACTTTAAAATACATAAAGTAACATTTATTACATAAAACACAGACATGTAACATATCCCAAGTTGGCTCAGGTCTGAGCGCACATTATTAAGCGAATGGCGCTCAGACCACACGAATACAGTTTAATCGCCATGGAGCCAAAGTCTTTACAGTCAGTTTCATACGAATGGGCTCCATGGGATTCCTATCTGGGGTATAACACATTCAAACAAAACTACCGAACACCGTGCCGTTCGTGCACTTCCACCGAACAAGAAGGGAGGTCGGCGGCTTCAGCGGTGTTCGCGCAAAACTGTGTCCGATTTTAGTTCAATGAAGATAGGGGCGAACACCGCTGTGCATTCGTAGGTTTAAAATGGCCATGACCTCTTCGGGATACGAATGGCGGCCACCCAGCATTCGTCAATTAAGCTGCGGTTAACCGCAGCTTCAGGGAGGTTAATTGCCGGCACACTCCAGCTCCCAGGTGGTCTATTCATTCGTGCGGTTGTTCGGTAGATTGAATCTACTGAACAACCTGCAGAAAAGCACGAACACAGCTTTTCTGCAGGCGAAATAAAGTCTTTTAACAGGGGGCCATAGTCCAGAGGCAGCAGACGAGCAACCAGGCTTCTCCAATGCAATGTGGCGAGAAACTTAACATGTTTCTTGGACTAATATGGTCCAAATAACATTTGGTATTAATATGTTTACTTGGATAATTAGGTATGTGTGCTTGTCCCCACTGTGGGACTTTTTTCTACAGTTGAGGACTAACCCCTATGGAGAATGGTTCTGATATTGTACAATAAACAGTGATAATTTGTTTTTAAGGGTTTATATGGGGTTTTACATAGCTAAGGATTTAGGAAATGGCAATTAATTTTTTTGTGGTTAAATTTTATATGAATATTTTTTTGAAGAGTGTCCCTTTAAGAATAAGAGACCCTTTAAGTGATGAAATTTTTAAGCTAAGAGTCCCTTAAGTCTTGATAACTGGTATACTATTTCATTTTATATATATACTTTTTGATCTGATTCTGTTTTAGTTTAGATTTTTATTTAATATATTCATAATTTTTTATGATTCAGATAATGATTAATGCTACACAGTAACTGCTGCCATTATTTAGTGAATGAAATGAATGAAAATAATTTAAACCACAGATGGTTAATATTCTTTTCCTTAGCAGAATTTGGGGACTAAAATTGGCTTCCCTGTATTATATACATTGTGGCTGAGATTATAACATTGGGTTGCTATGGAGACAGCATCACTGGAACACATATTGGAACGCAAACAAGTTTGTGACGTCACTTCCGGTTTTGTGACGTCACTTCCGGTTTCGGCGATGATGATGACTTCCGGTTTCCGGCGAAAAAGGGCGCTCGTTTTTTATTTGAATGATGACAAACAGCTGATGGGGGTTCTCTCCTCCAATCAAAAAAGGAGAAGGATCTACACCCACTGAATCCACCAATGAACTCAAGGGATTAGCCCTATTTAAGGACACAGGGAGGGGGGTTGTTTTTAGGATATGTTTATTTTATACTTTGTATTCATACATGTGATTATTTTATTGCGGTCCCTGAGGATGTTCATAACGAATGAAACGCGTAGGACTATTTTTCTGCATCCATATCCTATGCTAAATTGGTGACTGCTTATATTTATACTTTTATTGAATACATTTTTTCCAATTTTCTAAACCCTGACCTGTGGATGTCTTTTGGTGGGACACGAAAATTGGAGGTGAACAGAAGGATTGTTTGGCCCCCTATTACACCGGGGGAGGCACCCTGAGAGCTTTTATACCTACTTCTATATAGTGAGTGCAACCGATAACTGCGCACAGAATATTGTATTTTGTAACAATATTACACTATGTTTTGTCTTATGTTCTCTCTGTAGATTTACACAGCTATTCCTGAATTGCTTTTGTTGTGGTTTCCTAGAATGGATGGA